TCTAAAAATTGTGGAACAATTTCCGAAAAATGTTCCTCAACATAAAACTGCGAAGACTTTGGATATTTGGATATTACAGTACATAATATCATCAAAGATTCAGAGAATCTGGAGAAACCCCTGTACGCAAGGGACAAGGCTGATGGTCAATATTGGATGCTTGTGATCTTCGGGCCCTCAGGCAGCTCTGCTTTAAAAACAGTATGATTCTGTACTTTAAATCACTGCATGAGCTCAGGAACACTTCCAGGAATCATTGTCTGTGAACACAGTTCACCACAATCCACAAACGCAAGTTAAAGCTGTATCATGCAAAGAAGAAGCCATATGTCAACACGATCCAGAAACGCTGCTGTCTTCTCTGGGCCAAAGCTTATTTAAAATAGACTGAGACAAAATGGAAAACTGTTCTTTGGGCAGATGAATCAAAATTTGAAATTATTTTTGGAAACCATGAACACCGTGTCCTGTGGACTCAAGAGGAGATGGACCATCAGCTTTTTATCAGTGCACAGTTGAAAAGCCTGCATCTCTGATGGTCTGGGGTTGCATTAGTACCTATGGCGTGGGCAGCTTAGACATCTGCAAAGGCTCTATCAATGCTGAACAGCATACAGAGGTTTTAGAACAACATATGCTCTCAGGATGTTTACAGACTGTTGTCAAAAGAAGAGAGGATGCTGCACAATGGTAGACACGGCACTGTCCCAACTTTTTAGAGATGCATTGCTGCCATCAAGTTCTAAATGAGTTAATGTTTTTCATGAAATGGGAAAATGTCTCACTTTCAACATCTGATATGTGTTCTATGTTCTACTGTACATAAAATATGGGTCTATGAGATTTGCAAATCATTGCATTGTTTTTATTTACATTTTACACAGCATCCCAACTTTTTCTGGAATTGGGGTTGGCCAATCTATCGGCCAGTTGATGGGCCCTAACCTATATAGCACACTTGTAAGGTACACTATATGTCCAAAAGTTTGTAGCCACCTTCTCTTCTACTGTTTCTTCTGAAATCGGGGATATTAAAATATAGTCTCTCCAGTAGTACCAGCCTCTACTCTTCTGAAAAGGCTTTACATTGCTGTGAGGATCTGATTGCATTCAGCCACAAGAGCATGAGTGAGATCAGGTACAGATGTTGGATGATTAGTTCTACATCACAAGTGTCACTCATTAATCCAGGAAACACAGATTAACTGCTCCACAGTCCAATGCTGGGGAGCTTTATACTCCTCTAGCTGAGCTTGGCATTGGGCATAGTGACATTAGGTTTATGTGTGGCTGCTCCAGAGCATCCCATTCTACTGGTCAGTGCTTTTCTAAGGAGATTATACAACCTGTGCAAAACTGAACGTCTGTATCAGCAGTGGATGCACCTTAAAGTAGCTGAATTCACAAACCAGAAGGGTGTCTGGGCACCTTTGGACATATAATGTAAGAGGATCTCATAAACCGGTCAGTGAATGGAAGTACATGGTATGAGTTTCTAATAAAGTGAATAGCAGGACTACATACACCAATCAGGCATAACATTATGACCACCTCCTTGTTTCTGCACTCATTGTCCATTTAACCACTCCACTTACTATATAGGTTCACTTTGTAGTTCTACAGTTACAGACTGTAGTCCATCTGTTTCTCTGCATACTTTGTTAGCCCCCTTTTACCCTGTTCTTCAGTGGTCAGGACCCCCATGGACCCTCACAGAGCAGGTACTATTTGGGTGGTGGATTATTCTCAGCACTGCAGTAACACTGACGTGGTGGTGATGTGTTAGTGTTTGTTGCGCTGGTCAGAGTGGATCAGACACAGCAGTGCTGCTGGAGTTTTTAAACACCTCAGTGTCACTGCTGGACTGAGAATAGTCCACCAACCAAAAATATCCAGCCAACAGTGTCCTGTGGGCAGCGTCCTGTGACCACTGATGAAGGACTAGAGGATGACCAACACAAACTGTGCAGCAGCAGATGAGCTATCGTCTCTGACTTTACATCTACAAGGTGGACTGACAAGGTAGGAGTGTCTAATAGAGTGGACAGTGAGTGGATACAGTGTTTAAAAACTCCAGCAGCACTCCTGAGTCTGATCCACTCGTACCAGCACAACACTCACTAACACACCACCACCATGTCAGTTTTACTGCAGTGCTGAGAATGATCCACCACCCAACAGTACCTGCTCTGTGAGGGTCCATGGGGGTCCTGACCGCTGAAGAACAGGGTAAAAGGGGGCTAACAAAGTATGCAGAGAAACAGATGGACTACAGTCTGTAACTGTAGAACTACAAAGTGCACCTATATAGTAAGTGGAGCTGATAAAATGGACAATGAGCGTAGAAACAAGGAGGTGGTCATAACGTTTTGCCTGATCGGTGTATATATTGAGTCTACATATGTTGCATAGCATTTTGCTTCACACCTGCTGTCCTACTTTGCCGTCTGCTTCTTCCTCTGTAACGGAGTCTGCGGTCAGCCTCACACAGCCTGTCACTGGACACAGGCCTGTGGTCAGGTTATGTGACTGCACTCTCTGAATGAGGGTGTGAATTATTGAAACGCGGGGTTGAATATACAGGACATCCAAGCATTTGCACCAGCCCTGCGCACGAGAACGGTAATCTTTAAGTAGGGTAGTGGACAGTGAACGTTAGCTGATAACCTAGACAGTAATACATTAAAGCCACACTGGGATGTTTAAAGCCGTTTTGTTTAGATCAGCTTTATTGTATGCATTTATTCTTGTAGACAAACTGCTACGTGCATTCTAAAGCTCAAAGACAGGAGCTGCTGGGTTCTGGATCTGGGTGTTTACAAACATTGCTAGTGTAAACAAATCAAACAAAGCTTTACAACATGTTTACTAAGGTTGTAAGTGGGTTCTTGCGTTTAGAGCATGGGAGCACCGTGACCTTCAGCCTTCAGCTTTATAGCAAACCAGGCAACCGGGTCACTGAGTATACCTTCATTATTTCATGTTTGGCTTGAGTGTGAATGGTAGTTTCAGTATCTGAGGGAGGTTTTTCACAAAACATGTCAAGCTGAGTAACTTAGCCCTTTAATGTTCTGCTCAACCATTTGGTAGAGCACATTTTGAGTCACTATATATGCCACAAAGTGCCATTTGGCAGATGTGAATATTTTAAAAACTGTGGGGTCAAAAAAATGAAAGACACCAGTTGTTTTTATTATTGCCCAAAAAAAAAAAATACAAAAAAAATTCCATTGCTTTTTTCTTGGTGAGGACATTAAAGGGTTAAGCTTATAATGAAGACCAATAGGAACATTCATTCCCTTTTTTGAGGCTTGACTTCTTCAATCTGGTCTCACTTAGTCACATCTGTATCGTATGGTTCATTACCATGTACAATTTTCTTAGAGGAGCATTAAACGCATTGACTCTAAACATACTTATAATAGAAGCCAATGGGCAGCTGCTAAAGCAACCAACTTATCTTCTATTATAAATGTGTTTTTTCCACTCTCTTCAGGAATACACATTAAAATTATTGATAATGGTAATGTACCATACACTATTGCTGGACTATTCTTTTCAGTTGTCTAGCTAACTAGAAAATCACATTTTGTGAAAAACACCCCCGTGTGTGCGTTTCTTACGGTCTACAATCGTTTTTCTACATCACAAAGTAGCAGTTTAAGCGTTTGAGGAGGTGGGTCATTATTTCCAGGTGGGACACCAGAAATCCACCCAAAACTTTGGTAACACTTTCGGGTTCATAAGGCTACATGAAGTACATAAATATTTTCCAATATGCACTTTTTATCATGAAGACTGCATTTTGATGTCAGGTGACTGATTTTGTTCTGACATGAAATTAGTGTGTCGCTTTCTGTGGCTCTTAAACAAAAGGAGTTTCATTTTAGCCTTTCGCTGTTGTAGGTAGAAAACCTCGTATCTCCAAAATGGTAACTTTACAGGAGAAGGAAAAACATACTTTACTTATAATGTAAGTCAATGGAACCAGACTTTTCCCCAAGTCATTTTGAGTCGTTTCTCTTGGTCCATTCTTCTTGAGCAACAGGCCTTTTCAGATTATGCCAAAAACTGAAAAATAACAAAAATGGAGATACAAGGTTTTTTCCTACAACAGCGATTTGTAACATTTAAACTGTGGAATTATGTCACTGTGATATGCATTAAGACACAAAGTAAGTCGTTTTAATGTGCTAAATCATTTCACCCAAAAAGTGTCATGATACAAGCCAAAATCACCTGACATAGATGTGAGTCAACTTCATATTAAAGTTTGACGAAAGCAGCCTTTATACTGGAATAAGCCTTTATAAATGTTTATATATGTTTACGTCAGTTATTATGAGTTTATGTGGGTATCATGAAGCCTTATGAACACTGCCCTACAGTAAAGTGTTACCCAAACTTTTCCTGAATCCTAAACACTGGAATAACAATAAAAGCCACAGCCAACCTGCAGCATTCAACCTATTATTTTAATTCTACAGCCTGGCAGTCATTCTTTGAAACAGTCACTGCACTACGTGAGGTCAAAGGATTAATTCTTACTTTCCTGAGGGCCAGTGAGGCTTTTATACTGACAGCTTATGTAATGCTGTCACTATGAAGTACATATAAGCTTTGCTACTACTTAAAGACGTGTTTTCTAATCTGGAGCTTTGGGGACGTCACTCAAAAACTCTCTGTATCGGAGAGATTAGTGAAAAAACTGGACCTTCTTCTGTGCTAGAAATCAGAGATTATTTCTCCCAACAGTGTTGCAGCACAAAGATCACAGACTTTCGTAAAGACCAACTTATCACTTCCCCATAAGATCTTAACACAATACATTTGGAAAACCGGAACCCTGAACACAGATTAACAAAATGTGAGCGTAACAAAACGAACACGTAAACGTAGGCCCAACTGTGGACTGTTCTACCAAAGTACTCATCATCAGTCATGTTCATTACACATCCATCCACAAACCCCATCCATCCATCCATAAAAAAGACAGACACTTTTGTTTCTCAAAAATCCAAAACTTGTACTGTGCAGACAATAAATAGTGCTTACAAAGGTAAGACATGAATTCCTTTTGTTTCCCCCTCAGACTGACATTTATACAGCTGATATGAAACTCAAGTTTTTAGTGGGAGCCCACAAACTCGGGGTGTGACTACAGTACCAGCACTGGTGAGGGAAAACGGTTTGAGTTTTGAGTCACATGCAAAGACCCCCCTCCCCCCAACAACCCTCCCTATTGGCATTGAAAGGCAAACTTAAAAAAGAGTCCGTTAAAAAAGAGCCTGGGTTTCTTTTTCTTTTTTTTCTGAACAGTGTTCCATCATTCATCAAGCTTCTCCTGGAGAAAAAGTCGAAAACAAATGAAAACCAAAACCAGGTACAGAAATCTACAGAGACGAAGCTTGGCTGAGTGGAGATTCGGAGTTGCACGAGCTTTCGCTTCTCCGAGCTGAAGCTCCAGAGACATAGCCTCCAAGGTTCAACTAATGCCCAAAAACAGCAGGGCCCTCCAGGGACCACCTAATGGGCCAGGGCACAGGAAGGATCCTCCCGAGGACCTCCTTTGATGTCCAGCATATTCTTCACAGAAGATACCTTGCTACGGCCGGTGGAACCTGAAGTAGAGAAGGACAGAGAGAGAGAGAGAGAGAGAGAGAGAGAGAGAGAGAGAGAGAGAGAGAGAGAGAGAGAGAGAGAGAGAGAGAGAGAGAGAGAGAGAGAGGGAGAGAGAGAGAGGACACCTGTAAGCATACGCTGCATCTACTGGAGAGGTCATCATAAATCACAGGTGTATAATTAGAAACAAAAAATTCCAGACGGAGCGACTCTCTGCCGCTAGAGGAGCGGCTAGCGGGACCTTGCTTAGCTACTAATGGCTATTCTTGCCTACAGAAATGGGGACTAACGTAAAACAGACGTAAGCAAAACACGAGGGGGGCATTTGTTATCCGTGTCAGGCTGCGCCAAAGCCTGCAGATTCCACACATTTTGCATTTTCAGAGGGGCGGCTGGACTATATTTAGACTGACCCCCATACAGATGCATACAGAGCTTTATCTGCATTGTAAGGGAAGGTCATGCCCAACAATGCAGCGGCCCCTTATGTAAACAATGACTCTGAACTCTTGCGGCAGTTAGAGCTGTCAGAATAACTCAATTTAAAGACTGTACTTTTCTAATAAATATTCAATGATGAGTTGGCAATTTGAATAATAATACTACTATTAATAATAATAATAATGTTTATTTATACAGCAGCTTTCATACATTAAAAATGCAGCTCAAAGTGCTTCGCAATACAAAGTAAAAACAACAGAGGAAGAAGAGAAAGAAGATAAAAATAAGAACAAAATATAATAACTGTACAACATTTATTGCTACAGTCCATGGTCAGTAGTTCATTCACTGGAGGGTCAGGCACCACCGCACCTGCATACTATTCATGCAAATACTTTGTATTTTTGTACTGTATTGTTTATTGTTTAGTATATTTTATTGTTATTTATCTCTACTTTCTTTTTGTGTATCTGTGAATAGTGTTCAGTAATACTTCGCTCCTGTTCATTTGGCTCGTTTTGCTCTTCAGTGTGTTTTGTATTGCTGCAATGGAGAATTTCCCTCTGGGATTAATAAAGTGATCGATCGATCAATCTATCTGTCTGTCTGTCTGTCTACATATCTATCTGTCTCTGTCTATCTATCTGTCTGTATGTCTGTCCATATATCTATGTGTCTAATTATCTATCTATCTATCTATCTATCTGTCTGTCTATGTGTTTGTCTATATGTCTATCTATCTAACTGTTTATCTATCTATCTATCTATCTATCTGTCTGTCTGTCTATGTGTTTGTCTATATGTCTATCTATCTATCTGTGTATCTATCTGTGTATCTATCTGTGTATCTATCTGTGTATCTATCTATTTGTCTATCTGTTTATCTATCTGTCTATCTATCTATCTATCTGTTTGTCTATCTGTCTGTCTATATGTCTATCTATCTAACTGTTTATCTATCTATCTATCTATCTATCTATCTATCTGTCTGTCTATGTGTTTGTCTATATGTCTATCTATCTAACTGTTTATCTATCTGTGTATCTATCTATCTATCTATCTGTTTGTCTATCTGTCTGTCTATCTGTCTGTCTGTCTTTGTTTGTCTGTCTGTCTGTCTGTCTGTCTGTCTTTGTTTGTCTGTCTGTCTGTCTGTCTGTCTGTCTATCTGTCTATTTATCTATCTATCTAATAAACAAGTAATAATAAAAATAATAATAATGTATTTTTTAATGCTCCTATATATATCTATTGTGTGCAAAAATCAGAGACCACCCTTCATTTATCTACTTTCCCATCCAAACGGTCTTTAAGCACAAGTTATTTATTTGTCAGCATCAGAAAGAAAAGCAGAAAATACTTTTAACAGAAAATTACACAGAAGACTCAACAACATATTTTTGCCTTTATTGCAGCTTCCATTCTTTTCAGGAGACTCGCTTTCAGATCTTTAAAGAAATCAGCAGGGATATTTCTTCCACACCTCTAAAGTTCAGTCTTAGAAGTTGGTTTCATTTTTAATATTAATTAATAGTGGCAGCTCTTGTATAAGTTGAACCCACAAAGGCTCAGCATGACAAACAAACAAACACCCACACAAACAGACAGCAGACACACTGACCTGGTGAGGTGTCTGCTTGATGCGTGAACCTCCATCTCGTTACTCTTGAACTCGTTCAGCTCTTTCCGTATTGCTGCCTGTAAGAAAGAAAAGACACGTTTGAGGCAAAGATAACACATACAAGTGTTCACACAGGCATATGCCTTAAAAGTTGCAGTTCTTGTCATGATTACAGTCTGACACTGAAATAAATGTAAAAAAAATAAAAAATACAGACTGTAAAAAAATGTAAATGTGTCATTACGTTACAAGAAATTAATTAAGCAATGATAATTACATTCCAATAGTACAGCAAAATGACAATAATAACTCTAGAGTACTAAGGATTGGAGCAAAGACAGGGCAAAGCTATTAAACAGAAGAAAGTGAGGAAAATAAAGTGAGCAGAAATCAACGTGTAATACAGAAAGCTGTCCTGCAGGGGGAGACATACCTTGTCTGCAGCAGACAGTCTTGTCCAGGGCTTGTCTGCTCTTCTGTCATAGTCCTGAGCTTTGGCCACTTCGACATAGTCGCTGAAGCGGATGAGGATCTTTCGTTCGCGTAGCTCGTCTACTGTGGGACGCTGGTTCAGCTACATGGGGAAAGAGGGAGACATTCAGCTTTAATCATGCAGATCAGATCACAGTAATGAAGGCAATATGGCAAAAATATATCATCAGTGTCTAAAATCGGTGTTTTTATTTTTTTGCTTCAGCACAGCACCTGCTTTACACTGTATGATGAATGGATCAAGAGAAATGGTGTAAAATTACTTGGAAAAAAATAATTACATCGACTAAGCAACCATAAAGTTACCATTTTGGAAAAATGTGACAGTGACGATATGTATCACGATATTTAGTAATTCTGAGGTTTGTAAAACAGTAGCACCACAATTAACCAAAGTTAGGGATGCGCTGATATGGGAATTGCGGTCTGATATCTGATATTTTTCATGTATGATGCCGAAGCTGATACATAAACGTTTATAAAATGTAAAAATTAGGACTCGATCCACCTCGATTACCATTACGGAGAAATATAAGATCTATTTCTTTAGTTAGAAATTCAGCAAAATGATAAATATGGAGATATTTTAGAGGAGAAGCCCAGCATCACTGAAACATTCAGCTCTCCTGGGGTACAACAAACATGTCATATAACACTAGTTTGAAATATCAGTCATAACTAAGCGTCTGTCTGATTCTGATACATTTTTAAAGCAATTATCCGCCTGATGAGACTCCGATATCATCGTACATCCCTAAAAAGGCCATAAAAAATTATGAGTACAATGACTATCATTTAATTTGCAAAATCTATTTACGAAGCAACAGGAGGAAAAATAAAATCCAACAACTGGTGAGAATAAATGAATAAAAAAAGATGGCATAATGGGCAGCTACTTGTTTCTCTGTCAGTTTACTGGTCACTTGTTGTTATGATCTCTTTATGACACATGCACTTGTTCTGTGCTCTGGAAGTCAATGTGAAATATGATAAGTGCTCATAATACTTAGAATTGTGTAACATAATCTATTGCAACGATAACGTATCATCATATTGCAATACTGAGTTGGACACGCCCCATATAGTCTGATCCAGTGTGAAATAATTCGCAAATAATCTTAAAAGCTGCTGCTGACGTCCCTGTTTGGAGGATTCCATGATGGCATTGCTGACTTTTTTGGTTTTAGTCATATCAACATCTTAGTGGACTTACTGCAATCTTCGCAACGAAGCTTCAAACAATGGTTCTCATCATTTTATCACAGTAAGCAGATTCTATGAATGAGTAAGTCTCTCTGTGACCTGCTGACGGACCACAGCAGCTGTGAGAAGTGAATGAAAGTCGGTATTACTGCAGTAATCACGCCAAGCACCCCTTTCCATTCGGAATACTCAGACCGTCTGTGCTGAGCAGCGACTAGCGAGCGTGCCTGTCTGCCAGCCTCTCTGTCTGTTTACGGTTTTGTCCAGGATTTGGAGCGAGATTGGTCGCGAGGTTGAGAGATTAGGGCTTGATAATATTCTTGGAGCTGGTGACCCGCTGGTGCTCGTACCTTTCTGTTCAGCCTCTGTTTAATTTCCCTCCTCTCCTCCTGCTCCGTCTGGTCGTTCCTCTCTGCAAGACACAGATGAGAAAATCACGTGTCAGCGCGAGTAAATAAATAAATAAATACCCACACAGAACAGTCCAAGAGATCCCTTGCACACGAGAGAGGAATCACATGCTTAGTGTTTCATATGCTGCTTTTGTGGTTATCATCACTGTCGTCAACAAAACCTTGTATTTGTTAAACGCTCACGTTACAGAAAAGGGGAAAAACTGCTTTAATGCAAGTTAATATAAATTTTGGGGCATTTCTATTGCTCAGTTTGTCAGTACACAATATAAAGCGCAGCTGCTGTTTTAAATAGTATATAAAAAAAGAAAAAAGCTGTACGTTTTTTATTACAGTGACAATAATTTGCTCAGTTAATTTACTCAGCTTTATTCGCTTCTGCACTCCTCTCATTCTTATACATATACTACCTGTATTTCGCTGCTGTCAGAAGAAAACCTCATGCCTATTTTTGTCGTTTTTCAGTTTTTGACATAATTTGAAAATACCTGTTGTTCTTTACATTGTTTGTAAATTTCATGATGAATGGACTAAAAGAAACGGTCCAAAATTACTCAGAAAAAAATTCTGGTTCCATTGACTTACATTAAAAGTAAAGTATGTTTTTTCCTTCTCCTGTAAAGTTACTATTTTGGAGAATTACAATTATGTCTGTGCTATATTTATGTTTGGCGTTTATGCCTAGTTTTGCACTGTTGTGTATTTATAGTATTGTAATGTAATATTGTACTGCAGTGTCTTGTTTAATTGCACTATATGGACATTTATACTGTGTGGGTCAGTAAAAGCTGGCCCGGTCTTGCACATTATTAGATTGTAATAGAGGGATGTTACTTAGTAACACTGTATTTTGTAAGTTGTTGTTGATCTTGACATTTTGGAAACAACTGAAACTGGCTTTTTTCTTTCATTTCTGATTTATTATTCGCGTGTTTAATCTTAATACATTATACATTTACTCTTAGTTTTTATATACATGTGATTTTTTTTTGGTAAAGCTGCTTTGTGCTACCTTTAACGTGCAAAAGTTCCTATATAAAGAAAGTTAATTATGTATTTAATGTAAATATGACAGTTTCACCAAACCAACACCCTTAAAAACTGGTTCTACAACAGCAGCAGTTTCGTCGCTGTCCAAAGAAATCAAATGTCTCCAAAACAGTAACTTTACAGGAGAAGGTAAAAACTTTCTCAGCTTTTATCGTCTTATTATTATTTTATCCTTATCTGCTCTGTTACTTGATAAGTTGTTATATTGTAATTTTAATCGTTTATTGATTTAACAGTTTATTGGTACCTTCTTATTATTAAATTTTACTTCTATGATTTTTATTATTAAATTATAGCGTTTGATTTATTTTTTTTACTGTACAACTTCTCAATCCCTGATTCCTGTATTACTCGGCTACACTGTAAATGAGGGTCTCCCTCAATGTATTCCGAGTTTAAATAAAGGTTGATTGATTGATTGATTGATTGATTGATTTTAATGTAAGTTAATGTAAAGAGATTTTCTTCCAAGTGGTTTTGGGGCATTTCTATTGGTCCATTCATCATGAAACATTCCTACAATGTAAAGGACAGCTGCCGCGATCCGACTGTGCAGAAAAATAAAAATCGACAAAAATGGAGATACACGTTTTTCTTTGGACAGCGACAATATATAAAACCTTAAACATTTAAAGAACCATTTAAATGGTTCTTCGCCTGGTTAAATGGCTAAACCCAATGTAGGTGGCTCTTACAACGGTTTTATACAGCACCAAAAAGGTATCTGCCATTCTTACAAGTCATAAAGCCATTTTGGTACCATACAGAACTCTTATTGTCAAGACTGAATGTTGTTCTTTTTTCCTTTTATTTATTTATTTACTAAAACTTTCTGCCTAATCAGCACTGAGCCAGGGCCGCTGAAACATCTGTGCTAGCAGCTGCGCTGTAGTGAAAAGCAGGAGGAACTCCTCGGGGAGGCAAAGGGATGCAATTTGTCCTTATTAGACAGTACAAGCTCACTCGCTTGACGTCCATGGAGAAAGCAGCTCTTGTTCATCCCCACTTGTTTTCTTCCGTCCCCCCAATTTCCCCTGTCAAATACTGAGCGGTCTGGATTATCCGTAGTCTCACTACGCTGGCCTGAGCCACCGCACGTGGATAATACTTCACTCAAATCCACTCAAATCACTCAAACAAGGTCAGGCGGGGTCTAATTTATTTTTTTTGGTCAGATATTCTTTCAGTGATGCTGTGAGGAAAGTTCTTTGGAGCGCTTCACTTGTACATTGAAAGAACAAATTTAAGTTTCCAAGAAAAATAGACATTGTCCTTGCTTTAATGCTGGATTCTAGCAGGCGGGGGGGCAGTGGGTGGGGGAGGACAGCTGCTGTGACCCAGGGAACAGGTGCCCCCAAAGCAGGACACAGCAAGGAATGAAGGTTTCAGCTAAATCAACAGAAAAGCAACCAGTAAAAAGGAGCTGCCACAGAAGTTACTGAGGAAGCAGCAGTGTGCTAAATATACTCTATGATAAGGATCTTATTATGATCTGGTGAAATGATGATGCCTTCAAACTTTCCAGTAATGCTGATAAACACTGTTTGTGGTGTGTGTGGTAAAAAAAAGAAAAACAACAACAAACAAACAAAAAAAAATCCCCTCTAGGTGCAAGACATACACAAACACACTTCTGAGTGTGTCTATACACACACACACACACACACACACACACACACACACACACACATATATATATATATATATATATATACACATACATACAAATATATTTTTGTCGTTTTTCAGTTTTTGACATAATTTGAAAATACCTGTTACCCTTTACACTGTGTGTAAATTTAATGATGAATGGACCAAAAGTAACGGCCCAAAATGACTTGGAAAGAATTCCGGTTCCATTGACTTACATTAAAAGTAAAGTATGTTTTTTCCTTCTCCTGTAAAGTTACCATTTTGGAGATACGAGGTTTTTCTTCCGACAACAGCGATGTATATATATATATGTGTCTTGCACCTAAGCAAATTGTTTAAAATCATTTATGACTAAGAACTGGAGAGGTCTGAGAACGGTTAAGGTACTGACATACATAAATCACTACCTACTGTATTTCAATTATTTGAAACAGAACAGAAATGTATTGGCCAACAAAATATCTCTTTGAAGTGAATTTCCCAGGCGTCTATATACGTCACTTTCCAAAGAAAAACACAGAGCCTCTCTCAACAACGACAGCTTTACAGAAGAGGGCAAAAACATTCCTTTAATACAAATTAATGTACAGAGATTTTCCCTTTAAGCATTTTTGGAGCATTTCTATTGGTCCAATGATCATGAATGTTGTGTTATGCTAAAGGCAGCTGCTGTTCAAATGAACCATGTGATGACATAGATGATGATATAGTTTTAAAGGTAGTTCCTGTCCTTTTCCTACAACAATTTGATTTTAAATATAGCTATTAGCAAATAAAACAGCAGTAATTGAATGAGCACATATTGTCCAAGTTATCCTTCAGAGCATTAACCTGGAACCACATCCTGATGACTTTTAGGCTATTAAATCACAGCAGAATTACCCCAAATAAATGCTGATTTAGTCAAATAATCAACAGGTAGCCTGGTAAGTCACTCTGCTGGTTTCAGAGGAGTGTGTGAGGAGTGAGGGGAGTGTGTGAGGAGTGAGGGGAGTGTGTGGTCCTCGTTTCACACTCACGTTTGAGGATGTTTCTGCTCTCCAGCTCCTCCACCGCGGGTCTCTGGCTGAGCCTCCTGCGGAAAAACACCAAAATCACGTTCTGCACCATTTTCCCCCCTCAGCTCCTCTCAGTCTCTCTCTCTCTCTCTCTCTCTCTCTCTCTGTTTCACAGTCCCCTCTCTCCGCCTGACCGGCCGCTCATCCTACGACAAGCTCTCCAGGTCCATCTCGAGTCGAGACACCGCAGCGGCTGGGAGAACCTGGAGGATTTCCACATGAGGAGAGGCGGGGGGTGATTAGCTCAGCCCGGGATTCCCTGAGGAGGCTGAACGGGGCGAAGCGCTCTCGGTTCTCCGCGACAAAGTGCAAAAAGTCCGCGCCGACATAGGAAACGACGACACCAGCGCTTATAAACGAATGAAAAAAGTCATATAAAGTGTAAAAAAAAAACAGCCTGAAACGCAGCTCCGCTCCGCTCCTCCGCACTGCGCGGCGATGCTCTGAGTGAGGAGACCCTCACGCCACCGCCGCTTTTCTCCCTCTCTGTCATCAAGGGGGCGGGGCCTGGGAATGACTCCACTGAACCGATTCGCGTTGAATCGATTCTTTTCAACGGCTCACCGTTACGTTAGAATCAGAATCGAGCCTTGTTGGCCAGGTTTGCTTACACTTGCCAGGAATTTGGTTACAGGAGCTCACAGAGCACAGTATCAAACATTTACATGTAGTGAACAAAATAAAATAAATATAAAATAAAATACAAACAAAATAAAATACAAAAAAATAATAAAATAAAACACGCATTCCTACCCGAGCTGTCCAGGGTGTATTCTGCCTTCCGCCCAGTGACAGCTGGGATAGGCTCCAGCACCCCACCACGACCCAGAAGGAAAAGCGGTTTAGATGATGTGTGTGTGTGTGTGTGTGCATTCCTACCCTCTCTCATACACACACACACACACACACACACACACACACACACACACAGTCATACCTGTAACCTTTACATTGCAAAGTATGGGTCTAAAGTTAAAGTGCTGAGTGCAGCAGCACTTAAAGGGTGTATAGTGGCAGAGAAACGGATCAGTGAGGTAACAGTCAAGATAAGTGGGGTAATAAGGCAGGTAAGTAAGATGCTAGAATAAACACTGGTTTGAGACGGTAGTTACGGTTATTTTAGCACAGGAGCGTCCAGTCTGATCCACAAAGGGCCGGCGTGGCTGCGGGTTTTCACTCCAGCAAAGCAGGAGCTCATATAAACAGCGGTTTGAAGGCAGAAACTAGACTAAACTAGTGGAATCAGGTGAACACCAGCTCGTTTTGAGTGAGCCACACCGGATCACTGAGAATGAGACTGGACACTTGTTTTAGCAGAATCCTCACAGTCTGTGTTGTTAGTCTGCCTCTTTCAACCGATTCTAAACGGAGCCAAAATCTCTGTTCAGCTCATTCACTGTATCCTCCTTCACATTTTGACGTAGTATCTCAAAATAATGACTCATTTACTGAGATGGTGACTTAATACATCGAAATTCCCGGCTAAAAAAAGCCAACACAGACCAGCATATGCTGCGTTTTGGATGCTGGGATGCTGGTCAGCAGCAGTGGAAGTGACTGTGCTGGTCACCAGCAAAACCAGCATATCGCTGGTGTCACTGCAAAACCTCATATCTCCAAAATGAAAACTTTACAGGAGAACAAAAATATATGTAAGTCAATGGAACCAGACTTTTTATAAGTAATTTTGGGCCATTTATTTTGGTCATTCATCAAGAAATCTATACATAATGTTAAAGGCATTTTGTTCAGACAGCAGCTATATGCAGTGGTTTGGATGCTGGTGACCATACTGGGTGACCAGCTAAACCAGCACTAGACCAGCTTAAACCAGCACAGACCAGCATGAAATTCACGTGCTATGATGTTTTTTTTTTCCCAGCATGGTTATAGCTTACTTTCTCGAAAATTTGCCTTATTATCTCAAGATTCTGAGTTGTCAAAATGAAATTCAGTATTCAGGACTGTTCTGAGAAACCAAGTCAAATTTCTGAGATAATACGTCATAATTTTGAAATAGTAAGTCAAAATCTCAAGGAAATAAGTCATTACTTTGAGACACTAAGTCAAATTTTGACATACTGCTTCCAGAAACGGACGAGGAGAAGGGTCTGGCAGGAATGGTCTTCAACATTATTATAATATGCACGGAGAAATGATCGTCTCAGATACTATAACCATGCTATTCTGTGTCATTGTGACTTGATTTACCTACTCATTATCGCCCACTGATATAATCTGTGACATCAAATATGACGAGTTCAAATGGACGCACTTTGTATACAGGCTACTGAGCCATTCAGGCTAGTGACAGACTGACCGGTTATAACAGGGCTTATTCAGCGAGTTGTTTTTGGATGAAAGTAAGGTCATCCAGTGAGCTACGACCTGTACATGTACTCATGGCAAGTGTTTCTGTATTTATCCATATAAAAAGAGAATTCCAGATAAGATGTAGGACAGACAATAATCTTTCTGTACTCAGAATAACCTTATCTTACTGTATGTTATCCACCCCCCCACCCCCCGATATCCCTGCTGACAGGAAGTGCGACGTGACAGGCCTGTTAAAGCACAGCGGAGTCCTCAACATTCAGTATAATGTCTCAAAGGGAGAGCAACACACTGGAAGAGAGCATAAGCCTTAAGAATAAGAGTAGATGGTAAAACTAATATCACATATTTACACAAGCCTTTTAAGTACATAGGGCAGCAGATTAACCGTGATGGTAAGAGTAAATACCACACGTTCACTTCATTTACATATGGTGGTAGCGATTCATAACACCACTCTGATGGTCATTTTTCCATTAAGAAACCGATGTGGCTTGACTTACATTCACTACCATGTTTAAACACGTTTGGTCCCACAAATACATATGTACATACGCACACTCAGCTGATTTACCAATATACTTAAAAGACACGTTTTGATTTGTTTGAATAGAGCAGCATGATAACAGCATGACCTTCTAACTGCTGCTGTAGCTAAAACAGTTTCCCATAATAATTCGAATTTCAGCAGGTTAATTTCAATTTTATTTGTAATAAAAAATACCAAATGTTAAACTTTATGTAAGTAAAAATTATTGTAATTATAATGAAATGGAAAAAATAATATATTACTATTTGTATTATTGTTATTGAATAATTTAATGAGTAAATTAAACCTTACATACTAAATTATCATTTCTGAGTAGCTGAATTTTATGATTTTAAGATTTTATAATTCGATTTTTATTATAAATGTTTTTTTTTATAGTAAAAACATTTTCTGATAAAGAAACGTTGGCCCTCGTTCACCAACATCTTCCAACAGGTTTTTTCTTAAATTTGTTCTTGAAAGGTCCTTAGAAAAAGCTGAACTGTTCTCACCTTTGTGCCCTTGAGTGTGTGTAGATTCTGTTCTAACTTAAGAACAAATCCCAAATAAGAGAACACCGGTGAATGTCAGAATCTTTGTGAGAACTGCGTAAGTGGGTTTAAGAAGAAATGTCCTAAAAACGGTTGGTGAATGAGGCCCATTGTTTCATGATTAGAAATTAAAAGCATCTTTATCAAACAATTTACTATTATTTGTCAGCATTTTTCCCTTAAAAAAATCATAGCTCTGTTTCTGACAGTCTTGGTTTTCTGTGTTTCTTTATTTTCCTTTCTTTTGGCAGGCAGGCCACACGGAGTTTCACTTGGCGTGGGTCTTTAATACGAACATTAAAAATACACCAATGCGCTAATCACCATCAAAACCATGGTGACTGTATGAATAGCTCTTTTTTACCTTGTCACACATTTTGCATGGTGTAGTGCTGTTACCACCAGCTTTTAGGAATCTGGCCCTATATGTACTAAATTAAAGAACAACAGTGAGGTATCGATATCATACTGTATGTAAAATTAATATCATAGTGTCTGTAAAATGATGTGAATTGAAAATAAAGTCATGGCATTTTTGCTTGACCTTCAAAACACCATTTGCAAAGGAGAAAGACTTAACCATGGCTCTTCACTGGAAGTCAATTTCCTAGCACCATGCTGTTCTGCATCTAATTTACAGTGTAACACTGACAATGTTCCTTCATCAATTGCCCCTAAAAAAAGCAGTAATCCATCTCCCAGAACAGACACGTTCAATATCAGAACCGGCACTATTTAACACTCCTTCTCCCCAGTGACAGATCCTAATTAAGGCACTAGAGCCAGCCATCAGTGTTTGTAATGAACGCTGTGTTCCCCCTGTTCGATTGACGAGTGACATCAGACCGTGACAAGGATATGATGGCCATGATTCACGCAGACAACAGGCGTATGCTATAAAAAAGCTGCTCAAGCTGTTGATCAACAATAATAACAGCAACAAAAAAAAAAACAGTTATGAACAAGCAGAAGCTATTTTTGGCCTCTCTGATTGGCCCAGGTCCTGGAAACATAGGTGCATGGTAAGACACCTGGGGGCATGGTCCAAAAAAAGCAGGGCCGTGAGGGTGGCAGCTCAGCAGGGGCTGATCACCAGAGCCTTAAAACAGGCCTTAATGTGGTAAAACAGGCCTTAATGTGGTAAAATTTAAAAAGGATGAAAGGTTCGTTGCCTTTCTTGGGCCAGAGAAATTAGCTGGCTTCTGTCTGGAATCAAAGTATGACTCTTGTGTCTGACCGACACTAGTGCCAGCTGAGAGAACAGTTTCATTTTTATGTGAAGCTTTCAAATAACTTGATTAGGAGATAAGAGTCTAAATATATGCGAAACAGTTCAAACCACATCCTGCATTGTTGCAGTAAATATGTGCAGCAAATCTGAGATACAGCACATCTAACATGATACTGCAACATAGCATAAGATCTCAATACATCATTAAAATGCATCACCTCCCTTCAGAGTAGCCATGAAAATCTATTTCTTTGATACGATTTGATACTAATTTTTTGATACGAAGAAAGCTGCGGTTTTATCTTGGCCGTCTTTATAGAGAGGCACGACTTGTTTTCACAGTGAGGGGATTCTAACCCCTCCCCTTTCACTCCTCATTGCTCACCAGCAGCTCAACGTAGAGTCACAGCATATTACACTCAGAGAGCCGACAGTGTCCTAGTTAATCTGATTACAGAGTTATGAGGAAAATGTTTGATTTGATTATATTATTTAAAAATATCAAACTGACATCCATTCCACCAGCAGAATGGCCACTAGGGGGCATGCAAGAAGAGGCTCCTGCATGCTTTGATGTAATATGGCAATTAAACGGCATTAATTGCAGTTTAGGTGCTAATTGTTTGGCCAAAATAAAATTTATTGGCATTTTCAAACATAAAAATCCAAACATTCCTCCAGTCACATTTGAGGATTCAATTTATTTAAAAAAATGTTAATTCTGAATCCTAAAAGCAATAGATTTGTGGTGTATTTTAAGATTTCATTATGCATTGTTGTGATGAATCGTTAGCTATAGAATC